TAAGTTAAATAAGCAGGGACACAATATACAGCCTTGTCGTACTCCTTTCCCAATTTTGAACCCATCAGTTGTTCCATATCTAGTTCTAACTGTTGCTGCCTGTCCCACATATAGATTTCTCAGGCACTCCCATTTCTTTAAGAACTTGCCATAGTTTGCTGTGGTCCACATAGGGAATAGCTAAAAACTGCCCAAACTGAAAAAGAAAAAAAAACCAGTGGGCGGTGGGCCATGATGGAACCAGAAGTGGTGGTGGCGGAACCGAAAGTGATGGTGGAAGGTGGAATCCCAGGCATGGAGGTGCCTCCAGACCCCACTCTGGATCTGCCACTAGCCCCAGCTGCTCAAGATCCTGGCCTGCCACCTGTTGAAGTGTCAGCACCACAACTGCAGCTGCCTCCACAGGTTTGGCTGCGGGGGGGGAGGGGAGTAGTGATCCAGTGACTTATGGTTCGCGTACCCGTAGAAAGAGCTTTGTGTGCCAGCTGTGGCACGCGTGCCATAGGTTCGCCACTGCTACCCTAGATATATGGTCCTTATCACCTATTGTGAAGTATGGAATGCTTTTAGACAGGTGTGGAATCTGCTTGCTCTGGAGGACCCTCGTGCCGGGGTCTTCTTAATCCCCAAGTTTGCTCTATTCCCTCAGTTAGCAGCAGATGGTTTTTGTCAACTTACTGAAAGCATAGTTCAAGAAGTTCACAGTTCAGTAGTTGAATTTCTCACAACGAGGGCTTATAGCCAGAAATGTAAAGTCCCATAATTCCTATGGTTTTGTTGGTATCCATCTTTGTGTTTGCTCTCTCTCTGGTTCTTCGCCTTATTCCAGACCAAACATGCACACACCTTACAGCACCACATACCTTCTACAATACATCAACCAATAAATCAAGTTCAGTATTTCAGTGGTCATGGTTGACCTATAGCCAAAATCCAAAATATTGGCTATAAGGTAAAAAATGTCTTCTTCTGTACCAGAAGCTGGATGTCATCTTGAATGCAGCAGCTCAAAACAGTGCTTTGAGGTTGTATCCAAACCAGTCTCTCAGTTTTTACCTCTGAACATATCTCATTTGTTTCACCTTATACAGTCAGCTGTAGCAATCTACTTTTTATTTCTCATTATAAGGCTGATTCAGGCATTCTGCATTGTTTTGTATTTGGCTTGATTCATATGCTTTAATAGTTCTTCATTGATTACCTTCCTGATTCCAGAAATACTTAGTGTTTTGTAATAATAAATCTATGCTTCAAATGCTTCTGTGTAGTTTTAAAATCTAAGTCATCAATGTCTGTTACTGTTAATACTTTGTAAATACACCCCATAGTCCAGGACCTTTGCCAAGATTTATTCACTATATTGTAGATTCCAGATTTTTGCACTTCTGGTCAAGTATCAAAATTTGGTTTAATAAGTTTTTATTTTCAAACAGTAAAATTACTCCACACGTATCAAAGAATTATTCCTGACAATTGGTAGTGGACACTGTCATTTTTTTCAAAAATATGCCTGCTTCCTCCTTGATTTTGTTATGCACATTAAGAGTTATAAATCTTCTATAAGCTTCTGTTTTTGCATATTTTCCTTTGGCTTCCGTATTTTTTTCAGGTGTTATTTCATATTTTTCTGTATTTGAGGTCATCTTTATTTTTGCATTTTCATCCATGAGCCTGCATGTCCTGGCTTCAGTGGTGCATAGGAGTTCAAGCTAATGTTCCAGTGGTACACATTCCTGGAAATATCTAACTGAGCTAAAATGGCACATACCTTAGGCTGCAGTCCCACTACAGTAATACCCCCTTGTTTTCTCATGTCTTCTGCTTCCTGTAGAGTTGCGCATTGTGGTCACGTGACATACAGTATCTTGTGATAGTGGTTCATATATTTTTAACCGTTCCACATTATTTGGTTAAATTAGATGCAGCATGTTTATCTACACCCTTGCAGCGGGGCATATCCCTTCCTGTTCTTGTGTATTTCTCTGCCCCCTTCCTTCTTTAAAAAAATTGTGGGGGTTCATCAGTATGGCAGCAAAACACCCTTGCTGGCCAGATACTGGTGCATTCCCCCCCTGTTTTAAGTTGCATTCATTTTTATATTTTACCTAATGATGTTTTTAACACTATTTGGTTTAATAGTATTTTAATATTGATATCTTAATTTATTGTGCGTTTAAGCATATATTTTGAAGCTGTTGTATGCCACCTGGAGTCCCTTTCCAGGAGAAAGGAGGGGTATGGATAAAGTACATAACATGGATAAGTAAATAAAAGTTTACTCCACAACCATTTATTACTTCATTCCAGTTAAAACTTGGTTGCAGTGCAGAGGATCTCTGATGTTGTTTGAAAATGCAAGTTGTGTGCTAGAAACTCTAAATCCTTTAGACATATGCTTGCCATTATAATATGCTGTATCAGCACGACATATAACACTTTTACTAAGTGATGGTGTGTGGTATCTTTAGCTTTGACAAAATTGTATCAGATGGGAGGAGGAAGCAGGCTCTAATCCTTTGTCTACTCCCGAAGATTAAGGAAATTGCTGTTCTATTTCTTGAGGAAGAATATTGAAGAAAAGTCTCCTTTATTTTGGAAGCAACATTTATCACAAAAATAATATGGGGAATAATTTACATCCTGAATGGCATTCCATTTTAAGGTACATCGAAACATTTAAATCTGTTGGGGGGGAAAGCTATTTGTTATAGGTTCAGACTGCCTGTGTTGGTGAATTCAGCATAATGCAACATGGCTTATGCAGCATTTTGTTTAGTAGGGCTTAAAAGAAGTGCAGATTTCCTTTTTTCTTCACTAATTCTTAACTAATGGCATCTATGCCACATTGCTCTTCAGTTTCAACATTTTATTTTATTTTTTTATGGATTGTCTGTTACTCTGTTGATGTGTAATGCAAATAATCAGACAGTAGAAAAAAATCAATTGCCTCTTAGGTTACTATTCCTCCACAAGTTATCATTTACAGGACTTCATCGGACTAACCATAAATAAATTGTGGAGAAAAGGAATAAAGCTATGTTTTATAACATAAAGGCAACACCTTCCGGAAGTTTTCATTTTTAAATTCTTTTTCCTATGACCCACAATATATAAATAGCTGCTGGTACAGCTAAACTATTTTAGATGACATTTATAAGTAAATATTTATTGGTATGCAGCGGGGTTGGACAGTTGTGGACATCCAGTTGTTCTTGAACTGCAATTCCCATCAGCTCATGCCGCCCTCAGTGGTAAAGGATTATGTGAGGAGCAATCCAACAATATATGGAAAGCTACAGTTGCCCTCCTCTGGGGTTTGATTCGTGCTTATGAAGAAGATACCGGATAACTGAGTGAAACAAGTTATTGCAGTTGTTTATAAATGGTCAAATTTCTGCCTCTCCCCCTCAATCTTCCATTCTGAGGCTCTAATCCAGTTTGTTTGCATAGATAGTTCTAAATAGTTTACAATGTAAATTTGCATAGAATGTCCACAGGAAGCTGTTTTAATTTCACACTTGATTGAAAACACAAACTGAAAGACTATTTATCTGTTTCTTCCCAATTTCCTCACTTTTCTGAACATTATAAGGAAGATATATTTACTTTTTCATGCTGCCAATACTTTAGAAAACGAAACAGTAGAATAAGCAATCATAAAACCTTTCTTACGATATCCAGAAACTGCAGTTTTCTGTATTGCTGATGCAGGATATTCTCTTGCTACTTTGTATTTCAAATTCGAATTCTTTAGCACATAGAATTTAGGAGCTGTGCGCACTCAGAATCTCGAAAACATGGCAGTGAGTTAAATCCAGTTGTTGGTCCCAGACATGGTAGACTCTCTGAATCAATGGAGCTTATACTGTATATGTATTGGCTTAAGTCTCATTCAGTCAGTGAGCATGCTTTGTTTGGGACTAGCTACTGGATTTAGCCCACAGTCTTCAGTTTAAAGATTGAAGAATACACGTTGAACACAATGCTTTACATGCTCCTGCAAGTTTTTCTAAGACAGACATAAGCTTTCTTATACTGAGTCTGCCTATCCATCCTAGTACTTCAGTTCTGACTGCCAGAGGTTTTCGTCAGGATCCTTTCCCTAGTCCTACCTGGATATCCAAAGTACTTTGTGATGATCTCCCATCTAAGTATTAACAAGACTGGACCTTACTTTGTTTCAGAAATCAGGTGTGATTTGATGTGGTCAAAGTGGTGTGGTAATTATTCCTCTTTGACATGATGTGTTACTCTTTGAGACTCTCCATTACTTTTCTAGAGTCTCCACTGTTACTATAGGCATTACCAAGTACCTCACCAGAGACTACCTAGGCAAAAGAAGTCTCTAAAGCAAGTTGTTTTAGAAGTACTGCTCAATTAGAATTTTACTGGCATTGGCAGAATTTTGTCATCTTAATCAGCATGAGTTGGACAATGCAAACTCAGAAAATATACTGATGGAGCTGTTCATCCCACTACTGTATGTGTATGATTTCTTGCATCATATAGATGTGCACTAAGACATCACATGCTTAGTACATGCATTTGTACTATAGAGTCCTGTGAAGGCTAAAGATTTGCAAGTGCAAATATACTGGGGAAAATGTGTTCTCAGGTATTCTCTTTAGTAAGAGGGAAAAGGATGAGTCTTAGGTCATGGCCAAAACAGAAGTGAAATATTTTTTAAAAAAACTTTCAAGGGCTCTATTATCTTGGGATAATTTAAGATGGGTTGTGTGCAAGTGAGGGGCAAAGTTGAAGTCAGCAGTGGGTGGTGCCAGAGCACATTCCTTCCTTCCTTTCCCTTCTGTGGGGGCAGAGGATAGATCACTCTTAGAAAAGGTCTAAATTGAGAGATATTTTTCAGACAGTAAGGGCAGCAATTTGCAGACTCATCCAGCTACACCTTATGGAAGTATATTGCTTTTCTTCCCCTCTCACTCACAGGTTGAACAGGTGAAATTATTAGACCGCTTCAGCACCAGTATCAAGTCACAAACAGGAACTCTTTATCTCACGGCAACTCATCTGTTGTTTATTGATTCTAGCCAGAAGGAAACATGGGTAAGCATTCTGAGTGCACTTTCTCACATTTACTTCTTTAATTACACTTTGCTTTTTATGTCTTCTGGGTGAAGTGAACGGATGTGGACAACTCCCTGAAATCATTATTGTGGTTTATGCCAGTGGTTTGCAGCTGCAAGTGGCCTTATGTGTGAGAGATGGAAAGACTGATTGTTTTAAATGACTATTTAATTGTGCACCTCCATGAGATTGCTGATTTTAATCCTCACTTTTTCAACGTGTTACAGTGCACTCTTTCAGGAATTGTGAGCTGTAGCTCTACTTCTAGATATTGTTACAGCATGTTTGTGGAATTTATGTTAAGCATGAGAATTGTTGTCACTGCCTCCTTCTGTGCCTTGCTAAGATACAAGACACACAGTTGCATTCCTTCACATGTAAAACTGGAAACTGATTCTTCAAGCTGATGTTTTTAAAGTGTCCCATGTATTGTGTTATAAGCTGTATAATTCGATCCCATTTTACTGAGTTCTGAATACTGTAATTTACTCCCCCCTTCTACATCTTAATTTTAATCTTTGCAAAGAAATAATGTTATTATTTCACTAGCAAATCATAGAATTTGCTAGGGACTTATAGACTTATGTGAAGTCAACAACCAACCAGGTTAGTGCAATTACATGCTTCAGGTAACCAGACAGATGACTGTATACATGAGTATCTCCTGATGGTAGATGAAGAACTTTTATTCTTTCTTCCAGTATAAAACCAGGAGCAGACTGTGGTAGTAGATATGAATTGATTATATTAAAAATTAGTCTGAAGTTGGAAAAGAACAATAAAAGAATCCTAGTGCCAAAACAGGGTGGATCATTATTTAAATCAGAATTTAAATTTCAATATCAGTTTCTACACTTGATCTTAGCTAAAAGGCCGAGAAGCGATTTACAGCTAAAAAACTAGATTTTTTGACAATTTGAATAAAAAATTGATTTTTAATTCAAATAAATTTGATTTTTAAAAATAATTCATTTTTATCCACCCTTTGCCAAAATATAATGTAAACAACATTTATGATTAATTTAAAGTACATATAAAGCACAGATTTATGTCACTAATGTCAGTTGACCCTGAGCCAAAGGAAGTATGGTTTAAAACCACAGATTTTATTAGGGAAAGATTCTGTTAGTGAAAAGAAAAGCCTAGACTGATCACTGAAGAAATACTGTTAAAAACAGACAAGAAGGAAAAATAAAAAAAGTGCCAAGTAGGAACAGAATGTAGCTTTTCAGCAACAATCACATAGATAAAAGGAGAAATATTATAGAAATGAGTGCAAAGAAATAGAACAACAATTGAGGAAAAACAAGAATTCTTCCATTTGCTCCAAGAAATAAAAGGGAAATGTAAACTTATATTATGGATGCTGAAAGATTGATAGGTGAACATACTACGGTGATGCCTCGACTTACGAATGCCCCTACCTACGAACATTTCAACTTACGAGCAGCACCGCTCACAAAATTTTGCTTCAAATTGCGAGGGGAGCTTCAATGTAAGAACAGAAAAAGGCAGGGGGAAAGGTGGGAAATTCAAACCATTGGTGGCAAAGAGGCTGATTCTTTGTAGCTCTTGACCCAATGGTCAGAGCAGGGGGTCAGGGAGCTTTTTTACTCCTGCGGTGCAGGAGGAGGAAGGAGGGGCAGGGCATCTCCAGTTTGCCGCTGGGGATGAGAAGCCGGTGCGCTCCCTGCCCATCCCTGGCGCGGGTCTACTCATTAGTAAGGGCCACTGAAGGAACGGGTCTACTCACGAGTAAGGGCCCACTACACTGCCGGCTGCCATCCGCCGGGGAGTGAGTGCCATCAGAGGAGGCTTCGATCTGCCTGATAAGGTGCTGCTTTTTGCTCTTTAAAAACTTCTGGCTGGGAATTGCAGGGTGGGTTTGGGCTGAGGGGGGGTTATGTTTCTGTGCTTTTTTTTTCAGTCCCAGCGTGGGGATTGCTCAATGTTTATTTTTTGGGAGGTTTTTTTTTGCAGCCTTTGGGGCTTGCTCTGTTTATTTTTGGTTGTGTGTTTTTTAAAGCCCCAGTGCCTTCCAATGGAGCTTTCTGTGTGCTTTGTTTGTTTGTTTGTTTGTTTATGGTATTTTTTAAAAATGCTGGGACAGATTAATCCCATTCCCATGCATTTCAATGGGAAATGGTGCTTCGATTTACGAGCATTTCCACTTACAAACATCTTCTGGGACAGATTAAGTTCATAACTCGAGGCACCACTGTATCTGACCAGGATAAAATGAAGACATGGAAATGTTATACTGAGGAATTGTACAGATGTGGTACAAGGGCAACAGATTCCTTTGAAGAAGAGTTGTGTAATGAAGAACCTGCAGTTTTAAAAAGTGAAGTGAAAGCTGCTGTCAAAGTGGTTGGAAAAAATAAATTACTGGGTGTAGATGGGATACTTATAGAATTATTTTAAGTTATAGAGACGGAATCTGTCTAGGTCCTCATAATGCTATGGCAACAAACATTGAAAACAATACAATGGTCTACAGATTGGAAGCAAACGTTCAATGTGCATTCCCCTGTTCAGAAAAGATGACACTGAAGAGTGCATTAACTATAGGACCATTGTATTAATTTCCCATGCCGCCTCTGTGTGTGAATCTCTGTCTTTGTGTCCTGCTCTGCGCACTGCTGTGTAGTGTAGGCTAAGACTCAAAGGAGCCTTGCATTGTGTTCTTGAATAAGAGCCCCTACTTATAGTCTGGTCATCCCAAATGATAAATTTCTTTTGAATCTAAGGGGAAATTTGAAATAAAGTTGTCAATGTGTAGTGTGTATATATTAGTGAAAAGGTCAAAATTCCACTGAATTTGCCTTTTATCTTTAAACTCTGTAAGAGACTGAAGGATAAAAAGATAGTTATGGTGTGATTTCTTGTAATATTATAGCTGGTTGGAAAGTCCAATGGTTTAGGTACGTATCTGGTTGCGGAGCCAGAGGCTGAGAGTTTGATTCCCCGCTGTGCCTCCTGCCTCCTCCAAGTAAATCCAGCCTGTGAAGCCTTAAGCAAGCTTCACAATGCTAGGGTGCCCGCAGAGGAAGGAAATGGTAAACCACTTCTGAGTATTTTCAATCTTGAAAACTCTGAAACGGATTGCCATAAGTCAGAATTGACTGATGACATATGATTATTTATCATTGTTCTTGTAATATTATATGTACATTCAGAGTTTGTGTGTCTTCTATGGAAACTGTGGCTTGTGAAGATGTCTTTGAACACTCCTATGGTCAGTACTTTTCCATTAGTGTAATTTTTAGCCTTTGTGGCTTCTTGTGTGTTACAGATACTGCACCATCATATTGCTGCTGTGGAAAAACTTGCCTTGACTACTTCTGGCTGCCCCCTAGTGATCCAGTGCAAGAACTTCAGGGTAGTTCACTTCATTGTTCCCAGAGAAAGGGATTGTCATGATATTTATAACTCCTTGCTTCAGCTTTCAAGGCCAGGTAAGGTGACTGCCCTCCATATCACCGTGCAATTGATCCAGAGGTCCCTATGCATTTTGTCTTAAGGCTGGACAGCTGAGCTGACTCTTCTTGTCTTCCTCTCTTCTTCTTTTTTAGCAAGATACGATGAGCTGTATGCATTCTCATACAACCCGAAGCAGAATGAAGTGGAGAGGGTGCAAGGGTGGCAGATCATTGATCTGGCAGAGGAATACAATCGGATGGGCGTGCCAAACTCTGACTGGCATTTATCAGATGCAAACCGTGATTATAAGGTAATAAATTACAACTTGTTATGACTTATGTTGAGTGTTAGTTGTTAGTTAGTTCTTAAGCTTCTATGTTCTGTGTATAAAGTATGTTGGCTTTGAAAGCTGGGAGGTATTTGCTTAAAGTGTTTCATGTATTGTGTCATAAGCTGTATAATTCCATCCCATTTTACTGACTTCTGAATACTGTAATTTACTCCCCCCTTCTACATCTTAATTTTAATCTTTGCA